ATCAACAACAAAAAGGCAATTTTTCATGCTGGTGAGGACGCATTCGAAAGGGGGATTTCAAAACTCCGAGCTAGTCGCTTCAAACTAAATGACATTTTAAAAGACTTTTCACTTTTCACAGTTGGATGTCCAGAATTTGATTCAGAAAACATCAATGCATGATGAATTAGATCTACAACTTTGGCAACAAAATGGCCCTCTGTATCAACGTCATGGACCATAACAGTCTAATGGTTATGGTTTTGGATATGACCGCACTGTTGTTCTATGCACTAGCCCTTACTATTTCTTCAACACAGAATGTTGTTTGTATTGAATGAGATGAATTTCACAGTGTGTGCATGTTAAGAGAAACACAAGTTTTGGTTCCAAAGCTTAAGAGACAATATGTGCATAATGTTATTGTTGAAACCTTTAGATGACAGGGTTGTTTAATATGAGTGGTTTACCTTCTAGTCCAGCGGTAATAGTCATCATTCAGTAATTCCCAAGGAAGTCTGGTCACTGCAAACTTCAGCTCATTTCCCTTTCGCTCTAAGGAGATGTTTTACTTTCTTTGCAGCATCTTTGTTTTTGTGTACATTTAGTTGAGTTAGTTTTGTATTTGAACATCTAACATGCAGATCTTCCACTATCTACCTTCTCCATATTGTTACATCATCTTACAGCGTATTAATATCACAACCAAGTTTCAGGGGTTTTCAAATTTCAACTTTTGTTGAAACTAGCTATGCTTATATTTCAAGAGGATTAGCATTTGTTTAATGGGACAGTCTATGCTAATCTCAATGTCAATGTTTTGGGAGAGAAAAAAAAAAGTCATCTATTTTCCAGTGCACAACGGTCACCATTTGTACAGATGCGAAGGCACCATCAGATTTTGATGAATCGTGTGAAAAATAAACTAGCACAATCTGTATCATGTAATCTGACCAAATATCCATTTTCATATTGTCGAACGTTGTGAGTGGTTGTACAATTTCCCCCATCAACAATTAATGTGAAACACAAAAGGGAAATCTTTACCTCTGATTTTTGTAGTAAATGTAAATATTTCAGAGGACGTTTTCTTTTTTTATTAATTTTCCTACTTTATGTTGTACGGACAGATGTGTGAGAATACAACTGTATTGGAAAAAAGTTTGATTTGTTACAAATAAAATGGTAAGAACTTGTTTTGAGGCACTTTCCATTCTTCCTGATGAGTGATTGGTTTATATTGACCAGCAAAAATAAACACGAATACTCAAATATTTTAACCCTATAAAATAGTATGTTTGATACATAAAGGCCTTTAAATTATCAATATGATCAAAACTTTGCTGAAAAAACTTCTTACAGGCATTTTGTCATCTGACTGATAGTTTATACTTTTTAGTATAATTTTTAATGTTGAGCGTCGTTCCAAAAACGTCCACCTTCAGGTTGTAGTATTATCTTTTTGCTGTTAAATCTTTACTGATTTTTATTAAGTAAATGAAAGAGTACATTTTATCTTAGTAATATTTCAAGATGAACACTTCTTGAACTAAAGCAACTTCGGTTTACTTAATGCATATATCACTTTTAGAAAAAAATCAATGCTAGTATCAAATATGATACAAGGCTTTTGAGTAATATTTCTTTGTATTCATTCATTCTTTGTATTGCATTGCATTGCATTACATATTTTGCCTCCAAGATAAAAACAGAGCTTTGAATTTTAAAACTAACCATTATCATTTTACTAAGACGCATTATTGGGAGATACAGTGACATCTGATATTCATACGCATTTTACGTAAGTAGTCTGTTATATAATCCCACTGATTTACATTAAAGGGGTCATATGATGCGATTTCAAGTTTTCCTTTCTCTTTGGAGTGGCACAAGCTGATTGTGCATAGATAAGATCCCTGAAGATGCAAAGACTAAAGTCTCAAAACCAAAGAGATATTCTTTATCAGAATTTCATCTTATTTTTGGCCATATAAATAGCAGTAATATTTATGAATAAAATTGAGGTGTTTTACTTGAATAGTAATAATCTTTCTATATCAAATTATATGAGCCATAAAAACCTGATGTCTCCAATATGATACTTAACAAAAACCACAAACTTTTTTTAAAGGGGTCATATGATGCGATTTTAACTTTTCCTTTCTCTTTGGAGTGTTACAAGATGTTCGTGAATAGATAAGATCCCTAAAGTTGCAAAGACTAAAGTCTCAAACCCAAAGAGATATTCTTGCAGTGGATAGCTGGCCAATCACAGCACACCTTGGTTTTCAGACCGATGAGCTTTGTAAAAATCGACGCGTTTCAGAAAGGCGGGGCATAGAGGAGAAACAATAATGTACAGTATGTGGAAAATGTGTTTTTTGAACCTTAAATAAACACATTACATTACACCAAATACACAAAATAATGTTCTTTTTAGCAACATCATATGACCCCTTTAAGATTTTGTCTAAGGTTCTATAAATGGTTTCATTTTTTTTTTTTATTATGATTTCTTATGTCAGGCTTTACAGGGTTTAAATGATCTCACTCTCACTTACAAAACACACTTGAGGTATAAGTAACTGTTCTTATTTGTTTAAAAAGATTTATGATTGATTTAACCTTTCTGAGATTATTGCATTTAGCCAATAACACTGACCGATTAACAGCTGTTAGCGCCCCCTAGTGTCTAACAATTTAGCAATGGGTGAACATTTGTTTTTAGTTTTAGTAAACTTGGATTAAGTTTTGTGCCAAATTCACTTCATGTTTAGGATACTTCAATATTGTTTATATCTCCTTTACTATTAAATTGTAGATGCATTTTAGCATTATACCCATCCATCAACGGTCACCCATTATTTTTTTTATATTTTAGATAAACAGGGAATAGTTTAGTTTAACTCTGTGGGAACAATGTCTAGAGTGCTGGTAAGCCTTTCATATTTGTAACTAATTCCAGCCATTTTTATAAGGCCTTACAAAAGCTGAGAAACACATTCACCTTATGAAATGAAAAAGAACAAAACCACTTTACAATTCCTGTGCAACTTTCTGCTGGAATCTCTTTGGTTCCAAGCGTCAGTTTGACTGTTTTGCCAATCATTCACTACTCTGTGTGTGAAGCTTTCAAATCAGCAATCAGGTCCAAAGTGAGACAAGTCAAAGCAATGTGCCGTTTGACTCAAAACACACCAAATTACAGCCAATTCTGAAATAAATCACTGCTTTCTGAAAACACAATGGTTATATATTTCAATAGTCATTGTTTCACGTTTCAGTTCTCATCGACTCATTTTAACACACAAACACATGCTCAGTTTCAGAATAATATTCATGTTTACTACGACACTACTGCAGATGTCGGGTAAAAAGGCCATTACTCAATCACAAGAACTTTGGGCACCAAATGAAGAAAAACAAAAGTAACAACACTCACATCGCATTCCCGACTGCTTTAATAAACCAGAGCCAAGTGTGTCTCTGCCACTTACGTCTCATTCAAGCAGTAATCAGCTGTATAAAACAGTCAAGCACATTCTACACACCTGCATTGGATAAGTCAGTCAACAAGCAAACATTAGATGAGTGGGACGTTCACACATTCACTACCATCTGTCATCATACAAGCATTGATATTCAAGGAGAAAGCATTCCAAAGTTCTCCCAAAGACGACATGATTTTTATCTAATAACATTCAAGTTCATATCAAGGTTTTTTGTTTTTTTCTCCTTACATGTAAAACCTCTGTCTGTGTTTTGATTGGCAAATAGTTACAACTGTTAGTGGCAGCCGTGCTGATCGGTCACTTGTCTGTTTCAGTCTTGGCCCTTTAACAGTTCACAGAGTATGAAAAAGGTTCTGCTACAGGCATCTGGGAAAATAACAGATTTTATCTCCCAAAACACAATGGTGAGTAACAATTCCACACTGAACTGAATGAAAAAAATAATTTAAAAAAAGATCAGTCTTTTGTTATGCGGTTTGATTTCTTTAGCTTATCCGTTTAAAATAGTATGTCTGTTCATTTTTTCGTACCAACATTCAAATTTCAATACTGCTGAAGTTCTACAAAGGCATAAATAAAAACAGAATATAATACAGGACGCTGTATAAAATTCAAAATAAAATCTGTATACTTTTTTTTTTTTTGTGGAAATGATAATTACCAGAGAGGCAAATGACGTTTTTTTGAGAGCTGGAAAACACCAAGTATACCCCTGAGATTAAAATAAATTCCTTATATGCATGTGAGACCAGCTGATCTACTCACTGCCTGAAACTACACATTGCGCTACAGAAAACTTGAAGGCACAAAAACTGGGGCTTTTTGACCCCAGGGCTCCATACAAACACACACACACACACACACACACAGCTGAAGACCCCAGTTCACTTGTAACAAATTACTCCAACACTTCACATCAGTACGGAACACTTTAAATAATCGCGGTAACAGAATCAGCATCCGTGCGGATCAGGACCAGGATACTCCAACTTGGGGCCCGTAGTGGAAGGAGATTTAAAAATACAAAAAACAAACAAGTTGAAATAAAAAAGGTCAGCTGAGTCGAAAGTCAAAGTAAATAGTTTAGAGAGAGCAAGGCAGTGATTGAAGGTTAAGAGAGAATCTTCACAGTTGAGACGCTCTGTGAATGATAGACGGCCTGCATTAAGGCTGAATAATCATGGAGTACGGTTAGATGAAAATCAAAACTGCAGGACCAGAACAGTCACCAAGATATACTATATATGTGACCCTGGACCACAAAACCAGTCATAAGGGTCAATTTTTTTAAATTGAGATTTATACATCATCTGAAAGCTGAATAAATAAGCTTTCCATTGATGTATGGTTTGTTAGGATATGACAACATTTGGTTATTTGAAAATCTGGAATCTGGGGGTGCAAATCGCCTTTAAAGTTGTCCAAATGAAGTTCTTAGCAATGCATATTACTAATCAAAAATTAAGTTTTGATATATTTACGGTAGGAAATGTACAAAATATCTTCATGGAAATTGTTTTAACCCAACATATACTTATACATATATATATATATTTATATATAGATACACATAATTCTGAAGAAAGTTAAGAGTATTATATTAAAACAAGGCTTTTCAAAGGTTGTTATGCACAATATATATTATAAATGTATGTTACAAGATATACAAGGGTTTAAGTCACAATGATCATTACGGATACATCCAAGCATTCGACACCATACCTTTGGCTTGAAGATTAGTTTAACGAAGTACACAAATAATGACAACAACTAAAACTGGAAAGAAAACTGTTGGAACCTGTTCAGACGCAAAGAAGTTGTTATTTTAATGTGACGGAGAACAAAAAAAAGAATATTCAAGTTTTATGCTTTTACACTTTTGATAAAAAGTGTGAATTTAACCCCCAAGTTGAGTGATATTGAATTTCGACAACACTCAAGAGCGTAAAAAAAGAGCAGGTAATTCGATAAACTGGATTTTTCAAGTTTGTCATTCCACATGTGCAAGTCAGTATTTATAAAAAAAATTTTTTTTAAATGCTACAACTCGTACATCAAGCCACAGTCTCTGATCACGTCTGGATCAGAGTAAAAAGAAGGGCTTGAAAAGTGGCAGGACAAAAGCATCCTCCGCTCCCTAACATGTTCCTCAGCGGTGGAGTCTACCTGTAGCCAGGAGAGGGGAAAAGATGGCTTCTTTTCCTTCCGTGTCTTCTGTGCCCTCTCCTGCGAGTTCTGTTTTTCCTGATTCACTCGCTGTCGGTCTCCAGCTCGGTGTCGGACCACTCCACAGGCTGCAGCAGGCCGGTCTGTTGGGCGTACTCGATCACTGCTTTGTAGCAGAAGTAGTACTGGTCCCACGTTTGGATGCTGAAGGCACGCTGTGTCCGCATGCGACGCACCGTCTGCTTAATGTCCACTGTGCCGATGTCCTCCAGACGAGAGAGACAAATGTCTAAAGTACAAAATGTGCCTGAGGGTGAAGAAAAAAGAAAAGAAAAGAAAAAAAATTGTAAGACACGCTGTAGTGCTGTTAAGCAATGAGATCAAAAATGAAGGTCGAAACTGACCTGTTCGGCCGATGCCTGCGCTGCAGTGCACCACCACTGGGGGGCCCCCTGTGGGTCCCGTCCAATCAGGATACAGTGTTCGTAATGAGGATTCTTGTCTCTGTTTCACATGCCCCTGGAAATCCAACATGGCCGACGCTGACTTCGGAACACCAAAATCTGGCCAGCTCATGTAGAGGTAATGAGACACTTCCCTACATTCCCCTGTCTGAAAGAGAAGCTTGTCCTGTCATTTATGTTTCAACGACATTATTATGGACATTAAAGGTGGGGTAAGTGATTTCTGGTAGCCAATTTTGACATTTGAAATCACCAAAACAAACACGCCCCTACCCCAAAAGGGTCTAGCCCCTATTTTGATAGCTCCGCCCCACACATACGTACGCAACCCAGGCAACGATTAGTTCTGTGAAACAAAGCAAAACCAATTTTACACCGTGTCTACACCAGACGCGAGTGGCGCAGCACGACAAAATACTATAGAACTCATTATAATCATTGATGCTGTCTACATCGGCTCGGCTAATGTCCGTCCTGTGCACTAAGAACTCTCTCCTCCCCATCATGAGTAGACACACCCCTTACTGCTGATTGGCTACAAGTTTGTTTGGCTATTCGGCCCGAATCAGATTTCTAATGCGTTTTTGAAAAATCACTTACCCCACCTTTAACATACATATAAAAAGGATCAACATATGTCTTTAACTACACAATAAGCATGTGATGTTATTGTGCTGTTCTTGGCTAGAATAAGCCCAAAAGTAGACTAGACTTTATGTCGCTAGTCAAAACAGCTGGCTAAATGAAACAAACTTCTATGTCAAACTTCTATGGCAGAGTCAGTGCTCATGAAACTAAACTAAACTAAAATAAAAACAGAGACTGAGGGACTGACCTGAGTGTTGAAGAGCTCCAGGTGTGACAGCTTAAAGTCCTGAAACATCTCAATATGGACATTTCTCACCAAAAAGTACCCATAATCCTCAGTGCGCCCAGCCTCTAATGGCCAGTACTGTCCACACTTCACTCTGCCTCGCTCTACAACTCTGAGACAGAGATCAAGAGTCATTATACTAGTCTTCTTTGTCTGACATTCATATTTATTATGAATACAATGAAAAACATCTAGAAATTCAGTGCAATGATCCTTGAATCAAGGACAGACATTCTATTAACCAAATTATAATTCATATGCATAAAATGAAAAAACATCGCAGGGCTGCAACAACAAATATTGAGTCATCAGCATGATACAATTTGTAATTGAACATTATATAACATAAAAATCATACACTTTCAGATTTATTTTTTAGCTGAAAATGTCAGCCAGTGTATTAAATTAAATACAAAAACAACAAGGCTTTTTCAATTGAGAACATATTTGACAGATACCATTCAAACGTGTAGAGTCGGTAAGATTTTTTTGAAAGAAGTCACTTCGGGCTCATCATAGTTAAAAAATATAGTATACAGAAATACTGTAAAATATTATACTTTGCAGGAATTTTTTAATATATTAAGATTTTTCAGCATCATTACTCGTCTACAGTGTCACATGATTCTTCAGAAATCATTCTAATACGCTGATTTGGTGTTCTCAGTGTTGTATTATCAACTGATGTATTACCAGCTGTATTATCAATATTGAACACAGTTATGCAGCTTAATTTTTTTTGCGGACACCATGACGCTGCATGGTTTTCATGAATTTCAGAATTCGTTCATGCATACAAAGAACTACATTTATATTAGAAATATTTTGTAACAACATAAAGGTAAAAAAAACTGTCACTTTTAATCAATTTCATGCATCCTTGCTAAATAAACAAAGGTATTAATTTATTTTTAAAAAAATTATAATAATCTTATCGACCCATAACTTTAGAATGGTATTGTTGTTAGTTGGAGCCTTACACTGTCCTGTCCAAAATCCTGCTAAAGCATCATTAAAACATTCCTTAACTTTTCACAGAAGGAAACTAACCTTGTTGTCATAACAATGATTAAAACCATTTGCTCCCACACCATTCGCCAAAAGTCTCCAAACGTTTTTGGCAAAGGCCCTGAAACAACCCAAACATTTACATTTACACACATCCACTGACATCTGTACCATGCATGTATGTGTGTGTACTTCACAACACAATGTTTAGTCCAACAAAGCGTCTCACCCTGAGTAGCGATGTAAGCATTACTCCTCTTGTAACCATCCATGAAACTTGCATTTATGTAGTCAGATGTCTGAAAGCAAACAATCAAATTGATGAAGAATGAACCAGTGTTGAACCAAACTACAAAAAAAAAAGTTTTAGCTAAGTGAATGAAAAATATTAGATTAAAAACAAACTAAAACATTTTATTTGAATTAAGTACTAAAATGACTAAACCTATAACTGACATCCAAATAAATTAAAGTTACATAAAAATATAAAAATAAAAAACTAATAAAAATGACAAAAGCACATAACAAAATTACTAAAAGTTAAAAAATGAAAAAGTACAAATAAAAGCAAATTCAAAATATTATTAAATACTATAATAGTATATAAATAAAACTACACTAAAATAACACTGCATTGAACGATGACAATCATGAAGAAGATCATAAAGGAAAAAGGGCATTACTCTGACCTCATCATCCTCATTGTTGAGCGGACAGAGTCGAACACGTGATTGGTCAAGGCAGAGGACATCACTGTAGCGATTCTTTATCTGGTTAGAAGCTTTCCTGTGAGAATAAACATCATATTTATATAAGCAAACACTTCTTTGTCTGTAAACGTATCATCTTTACAGCCATTTCTCAAAAGCAAATGTCACTTACTTAGAGTAGTCAAAGGTTCCAGCAGGAGGTTCTTTGCGGATCTCCTCGTACTCCTGATAAATGCCCTTCTTCTTTTTACGTTTCACGTGTTGTACCAGATCCTGCACGCTCATTCCGCCTGGCTCAGCCGCATGCACCGACAGCGCAGCCGTTTCCGTCGTCGTTCCCGGTAACCAGCTCATATCCGGGGCGGGGCTGTGATGGAGGGGCGGCAGCCTTGATTTCAGTGGAAGGGGTGGAATGCCATCCCCTCCATCCACTTCCTCTTCCAGAAACTCCACATCCTGTTGGATATCCTCAGCACCATTGCCATCCTGCCTTCTGTCTTCCAAACATGCGCCTTCCGTACCCATAGTCCCTCCACCTCCTGGTACTATTGCACCAGCTGTGTGTTTTTGATGCAGGGGCGTGTCTGGGGGCGTGTCTGACTGTGGGGGTGGCTGCCGGCCACGCCCATTTACGACATTGGCGTTGGACCCCGAGATTCCCCCTGAACCTGGCAGTACAGAGCCGTTCCAATGCGCATGCCCCGCAGTCCTGTGGTTCTGCAGGTTGGCATTGCCGTCATCCAGTATGGGGCAGTTTGAGTTCAGGCCGTCCCCCAGGAGGGTGGCCCCTGAAGTATTGGCAGTTAAGGGGTCTGCTGAAGTGTTCTGGCTATGTTCCATGGAGTAGGAGTGGAGGAGACTGCCCAAGCAGTCCCCAGTGACGTAGGGAGAGTTATTGGGGTGGTTGGGGCTGGAGTTGACGCAGGACTGGATCCAGGCAATGTGACTATACTGTGACGAGCCACCCAAATGTTCTGGAAGGGAGCTGACTGGGATGTGATTGACCAGTTCGTGGGCTTTTACAGTGCACACCTGTGGAGGTATCACATGCATACAAACATTCAAAGTATTGCACCCTTAAAAATACAAATATAGCATTGTCCATTTAAAAAAGTTTAGTGTTTGCATATACAGAGCTCTAGACATACCCTTTCTCTCAGTTTCTCTCTCACAAACAGACGGAGTACTGCAAATGGTGCTCTGAACCACAGCGGAGACGACACAATAAAGACGCATTTCAGACGAGCAGGGAAAGCCCCCTAAATCACAAAAACGACCGACAGTAAACACAACACACTGTGCCAATCCCATTCACAGACCCACCCATTAAACAAACCCTCTGAAAAATCAAGAACATAACCGTTTGCGAGCTTGGGGTTGGTAAGATTTTTGAAAGTAGTCTCTTGAGCTCACCTGGGCTCCATTTATTTGATCAAAAGTTAATTAAAATAACTTTCTATTTTAATATATTTTAAAATTTATTTTTCCCTTTAAGTCAGACTGCATGGTTTCAATATACTGTCTGATACACAACGGTTTTCTTTCTCAACAACTGCTTACATTCACTTAAGACAAAACTGACTGTGTTTATGAGGATACTCACCAGGACGGGCATTTTAACATACTTGTGTGTGTATTTGGCAGCACAAGCGCAATAAGCTGTGAAAAATAACTAAATTTGGTACTCGTGAGGTGTTGGAGGCCGCTTTATGTCCGAGCGCTTTGGATGTGACCGTAAGCACACAGAAAACTATTGTGGAGTGCGCGACTTCCGAATGACTTAAAAAGATGTGCAAATGATACAGTTTTGTGACGATGTAACAGTAACCCGATTAGGCAAGTGACAATCAGCAGGTCTACTTTTGTGGAAACCATTATACATTTTTCCCCCAGTTTTCTGTGATGAATAGAAAGTTCAGCAACAGCATTTATTTAAAATAGATGTAAAAATAGACTTGTAACAGTGTAGAAGTCTTTACTGTCACTACTGACAGTCACTATCATGAATTTAATGTGCCCTTGCTGAATTAAAGTATTAATTTCTTTAAAAAATAAATAAATAACTTTCCCCAAACTTTTAAACATGCTGTAGAACTTGTCTGGCCTGCACAAAGGCCAGACCTAAATCCCACTGAACAACTTTAGGATCTGTAGATACACTATATGCCTATAAGTGTGTGGATGGCCAAGCACTGTACTCATATGTGCTTGCTGACAGTTTCATTTGCATTAATTGTAGGTTCATCCTCCCTTTGCTGCTCTAAAAGCTTCCAATGTTCCAGAAAGACACTAGATGCTGAGGATTTGCTCCCATTCAGACCCTACAGCATCAGTGAGGTCAGGCAGTGAAGATGAGTGATGGGTCCTAAAGTTCCTAATGTTGTTCAGTGGGATTCAGGACTGGCCTTTGTGCAGTTCTTTTAGACAAATCTCAGAAAATAATCTCTGAATGGATCTTGGTTTGTGCACAGGGTCATTGTAATGCTGGAACAAAAAGAGTTAGTCTCTTTTAACTAAAAATGTTTGTCTAAGGAGGTCGTGTGGCTATGTGCTTGATTTTATGCACCTGTTATAGGCTGAGCTAAAATAGCCAAATCTGTTAATTAAAAGGGGATGGTCGCATACTTTTCATCAATTCTAGACAAAACAAAGAGACTTGGTCTCATGCACTCTCAGAATTATCCATCTAAGGGCAATGGTCTCCCTAGTTAGCAGGACTCATCGATCTGAACAACATTTTTAAAGAAATTTCTTAAGAACTGGTCATTATTTCCATTGCTCCACTATTGACATTTTTTTTCAATCTGAGGAATCTTTTTTTTTTTTAACCAAATAGACAGTTTCCAAAAACAAGATTTAAACTGCAAAAACTAAAACACTGAATATCAAGTTAAAATAATCATTTTCCATAGTTCACAAATTGAACAAGAATGAAAAAATATTTCATCCTCTACACTACCGTTCAAATGTTTGGGGTCAGTACTTTTTTATTTTGTGTTATTTTACTTATTTATTTAGTTTTGTTTTTAAAGAAATGTATTCTTTTATTCAGCAAGGACACATTAAATGAATCAAAAGGAACAGTAAAGACCATTACACTGTTACAAAAGATATTTTTCCACAAAAATATAAAGCAGCACAACTGTTGTCAACATTAGCGAAAATAATAATCTTGAGCATCAACTCGGCATATTAGAATGATATCTGAAGGTTCATGTGACACTGAAGACTGGAATAATGACTGCAGAAAATTCAAATTTGCCATCACAAGAATAAATTGCATGTTAAAATACATTAAAACAGAAAACTTTTTTAATTAAAAAAAAAAAACAGTGATTTAAAACAGTATTTTTTTTTTTTTATTTACTCTCTTTTTGATCAAATGCAGCCTTGGTGAGCATAAAGGACTTCTTTCAAAAACATTAAATATCTTTGCAAACCCAAACTAGAACGGTAGAGTATATGAACAAAAATAATGTGATGATAAACAACAATATTATCAACTTAAAAAAATATATAAATAAAAATAAGCTTTTGCTACTGAATTCAGAGACACAATTGAAAACACCTGAACACAAGTAAGGAATGTGAAACAAGTGTAATGACACAATCTTTATGAAATCTATATTTTAGACAAATAAAAAGTCAATAAAAATCATAGCAATGTGTGCAATGCTGGCATAACATGTTGACAACATATATTATCCCAGATATATTGTGAATTTTCAATACATCAACCAAGCATAATTGTATGTGATTGAATATTAATAAAGCTCCAGTTCTCCACAAATTACAAGTACAGCAGTAAATACAGATGACATGAAAAACTTCCTATATATCCAAACCCCACTGAGTTCTGTTAACACCATATGAACGCAGTATGAAACAGACAGATGGTCTTGACAGCACAAAAACACTTACTTTAAGCAGATTCAAAATCTTGACGCAAAGCTCATAGTCAAAATTGGCATATGTGGAGTTAGTCATATCATAGATAAAAATGAGCCCGTCTCTCTGTGTCTGAACACTGGGGGAAGAGAAAGATGTTTTAGATGAACATGCAGAGCTGTTAAACACATTCAATTTGATCAGATTTATGGATGTGGTCTATTTTACCTCTCAATGGCCTTGTCCAGCTGATATATGATGGCCTGAAGAACAGCCTTATGGGTAGTGAGGTCTGGGCGATGGAGATGTGCTGTAAAAAGCGCCAAAGCCGCACCTTTCGCGTCACGGCCGGGCTATACACACAGAAGCCAAATTAATGCATTCACAACTTGTACAAACATATGCACAACTAATACATGGACACACATTACAAGAACAAGCAAAAACAGTCAAATGTACTGCAAAAGTTGCATTAATGCTGATTATTTTTTATATCATTGGAATAATTCTCTTGCATGCTCAGTGCTCTGAAAACTGTTTAAGACGTGATGAATACATCAGAACAGCCTACACAAACACTTGAGCAAACTCTGTATACAGCACAACCCTGCATGAAAAATAACTGAAACAAACAGTAACGTCCAGACTAAACAAAGATCATGGAATTGCTCTGTGTGAGATTGTGTGAAATCACAGATCAAATTACCTTAGCCATCACTAGCAATGATGGTGGCCTTTATTTTATGCTTTATTTACAGCGACTGTGAATATGAATGATCGCAACTTGCGCTGCTTTTGGTTAGCATAATCTGAAAGTGATTAAAAATTCTTGTGTCCAAATTCCTGTAGCTGCGCTTTGCCAAAGTTTGGGTTACTTACTGAGAGTTTCTAGTTAACTGTCTTTGCAAATGCATATATAGATTACAGTTCAAAAGTGTGGGGTCGGCAAGATTTTGCAATGTTTTTGAAAAAAGTCTCTTATGCTCACAGATGCCGCATTTATTTGATTAAAAAATACAGTAAATTATTGTGAAATATTACTAATATTATGAAATATTACTTCAATTTCAAATAACTATTTTCCTATATATTATTTGAATAGATTCTAAAATGTAATTTATTTCTGTGATGCAAAGCTGAATTTCCAGCATCATTACTCCTGTCTTCAGTGTCACATGATCCTTCAGAAATCATTCTAATATGCTGATTTGCCTCTCAAGAAACATTTCTGATTATTATCCATGTTGAAAACAGTTTTGCTGCTAAATATCTTGTGGAAACCTAATACATTTTCAGGATCCTTTAATGAATAAAAAAATACAAACCTTTTGTAACATTATACATGTTGTTGCTGACACTTTCGATCAATTATTATGTATTAACTGCTTTAAAAAATCTTAATGACCACAAACTTCTTAATGGTAGTGTTCCAACAGCATTTTTACACAGTGAGCCAATTCGAAACTGATATTCAAGTTTAAAATTGATAATTGATAAAAAAAAAAAAAGCTCATCACACACCAACTGACTGAAAATGGAGAAAATTTGAAATAGCTTTTAATATCTGACTGAGAGGGCCAGTCTGACACACACAAAGAGTCTACAAATCATGCCATCTCCAATCTGTACAACTAAAATGTTCCTGCAGCAGAAAAGCAACAGCAAACTGGTAACAACATCCAAAAAGCTGGCCTGGACATCAGTAATGTTCACACATCCACACATTATGTTCATGTGAAACTGTACTCACCAGAACTGTGAATTTCCCACTAAGTAACTCGCTCCTTAAAGGCTCCTCGTTTGGGTTAATATTGTAGATGCCTTCCTTTATTCTGGTGTTCTGTAAACACACAGAAGCATTAGAATGTAAATTGACTCTCTCATACACTACACTGAATTTTATCATCTGAGCAACCACACACACACTTTTCACATTACCTTGTAAGCTTGGAAGAGGTCTATGGATCTGGAAACATCAAACTTTCTTGCCATGAGGAACTTAACCGCTGTCATCTGACTGACAAGATCTGCATTCTGAGACTGTTCCCGACACCTCAGCTCAGCCAGGAACTCCTCCACCACCTGGCGCACACACAAACATACATTTCATCAGGAGGTTTACTCCATCCAATGCTGAAAGAGCACGTTCAATCTCGGTATCTGTTTTTGTATATTGATTGTAACAAATGCTGTACTTTATAGTGTTGATTGGGTCTAGCTGCTGTTACTAGAGATAAACCAATGTATCAACCTCACTGATAAATCAGTTGATATTTGGTATTTTGAGATCATCGGCATGGCCAATAACCGTGTTGGTTTAACCAAAGTTTGGCTGATTAGCATGACACCATCTGGCTGCAAAGCATCTTTTTCCATTGACAGACATTCATAAGTCAATATTTATGCTGGCAAAGCACATTGAGATGCTGAACGAGTTGCTTTGTCCAGGTTTTATAATAGAAATTTTAGCTATCCCTTGTTGAAAAATCGATCAATGGCCCAGTCAATGAATAATCTTTTTTTTTTTTCTCAGATAGTTTTTGTGAATTTTGAGTGGATCTTATGTAAGGCTGCACAATAATGGTTAAATGGCTAATGACAATAATTCTGCTCAAAAAATATAATCACGATTTTTAATCATGATTACTTTTTTTTATTTACATTTCATCAGAGCTATTGTACTCTCACATAGACACAGTTCAAGAGAAAATCAACTCGCATAGTTTGCTTGCAGATTTAGTCACAGCAAACAGCACAAATGACCATGTAAAAGAAAAACTGACTGCACTGCATCATTATTTGAGCAGAATATCTCAATAGAGATTACTGAACTCCAATTTACACGTTTGTCCGTGTTTTTCTGGTTGGGTAGATTAAGTAAACCACTGAGCAGAAAATACATCAATTTAAGAGAAAATCTCATTTCAGGTTAAATAACCAGCAGGCAATTATTGCAAATGATTATGATTTATAAATTGAGAGAAGCTGATTGTCATCACAATTAAAATACATTTTATAATGCAGCCCTAATCGCATGCAATAATTTTAGTTTACAATATATTGTTCAAAAACTTGGGGTCAGATTTTTTTTTTTTTTAAAGAAATTAATATTCGATTCAGCATGGACACAATAAATTGATTGAAGAGTGACAGTAAAGACATTTATATGTTACAAATGTTACATTATGTTACAAATGATTTCTATTTCAAATAAATATAATAATATAGATAAATATAAATAACTTATTTAATTTAAATAAAAGTTATATTAAAACATATGAATGATTTCTGAAGGATCGGGTGACAGTGAAAACTAGCAACAAATAACATTTTAAACTATAAAATGTGACCATACATTAAAACAGAAAACTTTAATTAAAAAAAAAAAACAGTGATTTAAAATAGTATTTTTTTTTTTTATTTACTCTCTTTTTGATCAAATAAACGCAGCCTTGGTGAGCATAAAGGACTTCTTTCAAAAACATTAAATATCTTTGCAAACCCAAACTAGAACGGTAGAGTATATGAACAAAAATAATGTGATGATAAACAACAATATTATCAACTTAAAAAAATATATAAATAAAAATAAGCTTTTGCTACAGAACTCAGAGACACAATTGAAAACACCTGAACACAAGTAAGGAATGTGAAACAAGTGTAATGACACAATCTTTATGAAATCTATATTTTAGACAAATAAAAAGTCAATAAAAATCATAGCAATGTGTGCAATGCTGGCATAACATGTTGACAACATATATTATCCCAGATATATTGTGAATTTTCAATACATCAACCAAGCATAATTGTATGTGATTGAATATTAATAAAGCTCCAGTTCTCCACAAATTACAAGTACAGCAGTAAATACAGATGACATGAAAAACTTCCTATATATCCAAACCCCACTGAGTTCTGTTAACACCATATGAACGCAGTATGAAACAGACAGATGGTCTTGACAGCACAAAAACACTTACTTTAAGCAGATTCAAAATCTTGACGCAAAGCTCATAGTCAAAATTGGCATATGTGGAGTTAGTCATATCATAGATAAAAATGAGCCCGTCTCTCTGTGTCTGAACACTGGGGGAAGAGAAAGATGTTTTAGATGAACATGCAGAGCTGTTAAACACATTCAATTTGATCAGATTTATGGATGTGGTCTATTTTACCTCTCAATGGCCTTGTCCAGCTGATATATGATGGCCTGAAGAACAGCCTTATGGGTAGTGAGGTCTGGGCGATGGAGATGTGCTGTAAAAAGCGCCAAAGCCGCACCTTTCGCGTCACGGCCGGGCTATACACACAGAAGCCAAATTAATGCATTCACAACTTGTACAAACATATGCACAACTAATACATGGACACACATTACAAGAACAAGCAAAAACAGTCAAATGTACTGCAAAAGTTGCATTAATGCTGATTATTTTTTATATCATTGGAATAATTCTCTTGCATGCTCAGTGCTCTGAAAACTGTTTAAGACGTGATGAATACATCAGAACAGCCTACACAAACACTTGAGCAAACTCTGTATACAGCACAACCCTGCATGAAAAATAACTGAAACAAACAGTAACGTCCAGACTAAACAAAGATCATGGAATTGCTCTGTGTGAGATTGTGTGAAATCACAGATCAAATTACCTTAGCCATCACTAGCAATGATGGTGGCCTTTATTTTATGCTTTATTTACAGCGACTGTGAATATGAATGATCGCAACTTGCGCTGCTTTTGGTTAGCATAATCTGAAAGTGATTAAAAATTCTTGTGTCCAAATTCCTGTAGCTGCGCTTTGCCAAAGTTTGGGTTACTTACTGAGAGTTTCTAGTTAACTGTCTTTGCAAATGCATATATAGATTACAGTTCAAAAGTGTGGGGTCGGCAAGATTTTGCAATGTTTTTGAAAAAAGTCTCTTATGCTCACAGATGCCGCATTTATTTGATTAAAAAATACAGTAAATTATTGTGAAATATTACTAATATTATGAAATATTACTTCAATTTCAAATAACTATTTTCCTATATATTATTTGAATAGATTCTAAAATGTAATTTATTCCTGTGATGCAAAGCTGAATTTCCAGCATCATTACTCCTGTCTTCAGTGTCACATGATCCTTCAGAAATCATTCTAATATACTGATTTGCCTCTCAAGAAACATTTCTGATTATTATCCATGTTGAAAACAGTTTTGCTGCTAAATATCTTGTGGAAACCTAATACATTTTCAGGATCCTTTAATGAATAAAAAAATACAAACCTTTTGTAACATTATACATGTTGTTGCTGACACTTTCGATCAATTATTATGTATTAACTGCTTTAAAAAATCTTAATGACCACAAACTTCTTAATGGTAGTGTTCCAACAGCATTTTTACACAGTGAGCCAATTCGAAACTGATATTCAAGTTTAAAATTGATAATTGATAAAAAAAAAAAAAGCTCATCACACACCAACTGACTGAAAATGGAGAAAATTTGAAATAGCTTTTAATATCTGACTGAGAGGGCCAGTCTGACACACACAAAGAGTCTACAAATCATGCCATCTCCAATCTGTACAACTAAAATGTTCCTGCAGCAGAAAAGCAACAGCAAACTGGTAACAACATCCAAAAAGCTGGCCTGGACATCAGTAATGTTCACACATCCACACATTATGTTCATGTGAAACTGTACTCACCAGAACTGTGAATTTCCCACTAAGTAACTCGCTCCTTAAAGGCTCCTCGTTTGGGTTAATATTGTAGATGCCTTCCTTTATTCTGGTGTTCTGTAAACACACAGAAGCATTAGAATGTAAATTGACTCTCTCATACACTACACTGAATTTTATCATCTGAGCAACCACACACACACTTTTCACATTACCTTGTAAGCTTGGAAGAGGTCTATGGATCTGGAAACATCAAACTTTCTTGCCATGAGGAACTTAACCGCTGTCATCTGACTGACAAGATCTGCATTCTGAGACTGTTCCCGACACCTCAGCTCAGCCAGGAACTCCTCCACCACCTGGCGCACACACAAACATACATTTCATCAGGAGGTTTACTCCATCCAATGCTGAAAGAGCACGTTCAATCTCGGTATCTGTTTTTGTATATTGATTGTAACAAATGCTGTACTTTATAGTGTTGATTGGGTCTAGCTGCTGTTACTAGAGATAAACCAATGTATCAACCTCACTGATAAATCAGTTGATATTTGGTATTTTGAGATCATCGGCATGGCCAATAACCGTGTTGGTTTAACCAAAGTTTGGCTGATTAGCATGACACCATCTGGCTGCAAAGCATCTTTTTCCATTGACAGACATTCATAAGTCAATATTTATGCTGGCAAAGCACATTGAGATGCTGAACGAGTTGCTTTGTCCAGGTTTTATAATAGAAATTTTAGCTATCCCTTGTTGAAAAATCGATCAATGGCCCAGTCAATGAATAATCTTTTTTTTTTTTCTCAGATAGTTTTTGTGAATTTTGAGTGGATCTTATGTAAGGCTGCACAATAATGGTTAAATGGCTAATGACAATAATTCTGCTCAAAAAATATAATCACGATTTTTAATCATGATTACTTTTTTTTATTTACATTTCATCAGAGCTATTGTACTCTCACATAGACACAGTTCAAGAGAAAATCAACTCGCATAGTTTGCTTGCAGATTTAGTCACAGCAAACAGCACAAATGACCATGTAAAAGAAAAACTGACTGCACTGCATCATTATTTGAGCAGAATATCTCAATAGAGATTACTGAACTCCAATTTACACGTTTGTCCGTGTTTTTCTGGTTGGGTAGATTAAGTAAACCACTGAGCAGAAAATACATCAATTTAAGAGAAAATCTCATTTCAGGTTAAATAACCAGCAGGCAATTATTGCAAATGATTATGATTTATAAATTGAGAGAAGCAGATTGTCATCACAATTAAAATACATTTTATAATGCAGCCCTAATCGCATGCAATAATTTTAGTTTACAATATATTGTTCAAAAACTTGGGGTCAGATTTTTTTTTTTTTTAAAGAAATTAATATTCGATTCAGCATGGACACAATAAATTGATTGAAGAGTGACAGTAAAGACATTTATATGTTACAAATGTTACATTATGTTACAAATGATTTCTATTTCAAATAAATATAATAATATAGATAAATATAAATAACTTATTTAATTTAAATAAAAGTTATATTAAAACATATGAATGATTTCTGAAGGATCGGGTGACAGTGAAAACTAGCAACAAATAACATTTTAAACTATAAAATGTGACCACACATATGCTGATGACACTCAACTCTACTTCTCATTCCAACCAGATGATCCAACGGTAGACGTCCACGCGCACATGGATCGCGTAACATTATGCGCTTTCGACATTTAATGATGCATTACATCATTATTTGAGCAGAATATCTCAATAGAGATTACTGAACTCCAATTTACACGTTTGTCCGTGTTTTTCTGGTTGGGTAGATTAAGTAAACCACTGAGCAGAAAATACATCAATTTAAGAGAAAATCTCATTTCAGGTTAAATAACCAGCAGGCAATTATTGCAAATGATTATGATTTATAAATTGAGAGAAGCAGATTGTCATCACAATTAAAATACATTTTATAATGCAGCCCTAATCGCATGCAATAATTTTAGTTTACAATATATTGTTCAAAAACTTGGGGTCAGATTTTTTTTTTTTTTTACGTTTTTAAAAGAAGTCTCTTAGGCTGCATTTATTTGAACACAAATACAGTAAAAAGAGTAATATTGTCAAATATTATTTTTAAAAAATTATATTTTGATATGTAAAAAATGAAGTTCATTCCTATGATGACAAAGCTAATTTCCTCAATTCGAGCAGCTGAGTCTTTGGCCATCTTCAAAAAATGTCTAAAGACACATCTTTTTCGTCAGCACTCGACTAATTAATGCTAACATTTTCTTATTCTATTTGTCTCTTTTTCTGTAGAAAAAAAACTGGTATGTGTACTGTGCTAGACTAACTGAGACTTGTTACAGCACTTGTACTGTATACTGTTGCCCTCCTATTGGTCTGAATTGCTTCTATTTGCTCTTCTCATTTGTAAGTCGCTTTGGATAAAAGCCTCTGCTAAATGATTAAATGTAAATGTAAATAATAAAACCGCAACAGTCATTTTAAACAACAACATCTCACGTTACTGTATTAATTTGCATTTGCGATCAAACTTTTTGATCACAATCATTTTTGACTCTGTCACATCTAGGCTATATTAACATTACACTGCCCATCCCACTCTCTATTTCTATATATTTCCAGTCCCTATATCGGTTGACCACTAGTTAATGTACCAGACGATCTACAGTACATTGCTCTCATTTACCCGCCTTTCCAAAGGGTTTCCATAAGCAAAACCAAAACACTATTGCAATACCCCAAGATGACACCACTCAATCAAATGCATGTGCAGAAGCAGGATAATCTGACTGCGGACCGTGCTGACAGACGTTATGCTACACTCATATCGCACAGTTTCCTCAACGACTCAGAACAAATGGCACCTCCAGCACTAGATATGAGTGTTCACACGGTGAGACAGACAGAAGTGAGAGCTGTCTCACATTTTCCAGCACTTCAAACACCCGGCTCGCTCTGTTATTTAGCAACGTCGACATGGAGATTCATATATGCCCACACATGACAGGGGGCAGCGATGCAGATTTGTTATAATATATTTTATTTAATGCAGTCATGCTGTAATAATATTAATGTGAACAGACCGCGAATCACATTCGCGTTGTATGCCAATATACTGCTGCTAACTTAGCTGGTTCTCAGTCCAACACACGTGAGAGTCATTTTATAATACCATATACAAGTTTCATTAAATTCTATAATCATACCGGTCAATAAACATGTATTAAACAGTTATAAATGTGCATTATTCTGTAGAGCGTCGCTAGCTCGCTAACACGGCTAGCATTTACCTCAGCTAACGTTACCTCAAAAACAGCCACAGGGCCGCGATTCTCATTAACTTCCTTGTTAATAAATAATTATCAACTATATTATGCGACGTATCATCTTAATACATGCTACAGAGGAGCTGTTGGCGACTCAGCTTGAAACTCCACGGAATCCACGAAGGGCTTAATGGAAATATTTAGGTATCTTACCACCTCCTCTTGAGTTGTCAGGGCTTCCGCCATCTTGAAGCCTGAGCAGCAACGTCTACGGGCGCGCCCTCTCAGCTGTCGGGAACTTTTTTTTCTTCTTTTTTTTTTTTCTTTTTTTCTTTTTTTTTTAATTTGAAGTATAACAAAAAATTACAAGTTTACAGAACAAATTGGCATATACAACTTACATTCAAGGACATCAGTTTTAAGAGGGGCTTAGACATACAGAATACAAAAAACATGCATTCTTTAAACCATCTATATTAATAAATATAGATTAAACACAGGGGATAAAAAAAACATTATAATAAATTATATTTATCAAATAAATCTAACAAGATTCCAGCTTTTTTATTTTTTGTTTTTGACAAAGCTTTTGAGTATTGTCTCAAATAATCCTTAAATACTATAAACATGGGGGGTGATTTAAACAAAAATCTACATTTGTGAATAAAATTCTTCGCTAACTAAAGTAAAACATTAATCAACAAACCTTTTTTACCACCTTCTTCATAGTTTCCATACTTAATATTGTAAGGACAGGTTAAATTCAACCACATTTCCCTCTTTTAACCGTAATTGCACTTTGTCCCAGAAGACACTAGAATATTTACAAGCAAAAAAAATGTATCTGTATTATCTGGAGATGAGTTACAACATTTACATAATATAATTTAAAAATGAAATCTAACCCTTAGAAACTCTCCAGAAGGGTAAATATCATATACAATTTAAAGTGAGATTCTCTCAGCTGTCAGAGCGGCGTGCATCAGGATGGCGCGCATGCGTAGTAACGAGTTAAACCATGCTTGGAAGTTAGTACACAAGATATTTATGGACTTTAGTAAGTAGGTAGGAGGACAATAGACTGGAGGCAGTATACTCTTCAAGATAGAAATCTGTGACAATCTAATCATCACTTCATCTGTACACACACACACACACATACACACACACACACACACAGGGTTTTAGTGTTTCATGAGGACTCTCCATAGACATGATTTTTATACTGTACAACTTTATATTCTATCGCCTAACCCTAAATCTACCCCTTACAGAAAACACTGTATTTTTTAATTTATAAAATAAATAAATAAATAAAAATAATAGTATCATTTATAAGCTGTTTTCCTCACAACGTCAAAAATTTCAGGTTATACTATTCTTGTGAGGACAATGGACATGTAGTCCCTACAACACACAGAATATATGGACCATACACACACTTATTTTTTTTGCCAGACAATTCAGTCTCAGACTTCAGAATGAATATATATATATATATATATACACACACATATACATACACTACCGCTCAAAAGTTTGGGATCAGTAAGACTTGTAATGTTTTCTAAAAAGTCTCTTATGCTCATCAAGGCTGCATTTATTTGATCAAAAATACAGAAAAAACATATTCTTAGAAAAGATTTATATTTTGAATAAATGCTGTTCTTTTTAACTTTTTATTCATCAAAGAATCCTGAAAAAAGTATCGCAGTTTCCCCCAAAAAATATTTGGCAGCACAACTGTTGCCAACATTGATAATTCTAATCATAAATCAGCATATTAGAATGATTTCTTGAGGATCATGTGACTGAAGACTGGAGTAATGGCTGATGGAAATTCAGCTTTGCATCACAAAAAATAAATTATATTTTAAAGTATATTAAAATAGAAACCATTATTTTATATGAATACTTTCCGTACCCACTGTATATATATATACACTATGTATATATATATATATGTGTGTCTACAATTACTCTACAGCACAAAAACACACGTCTGACACAGTACCTGTTTTTCTGTCCTCTGTCTGAGGTTCATCCTCTTCATCCTCATCGAGTGCCCACGAGTTCACGATGCCCTCACCTACCTGTGCAGTTCCCATGGCAACAAGAACAGGAGAAGGAACACTGGCTCTGGGGTCAAGGGGTAATATTCAGGTAAAATAATTTATCTGGCACAGCAATAGGATATATAAGACAATATTCCTTTAGCATTTCATGCATCTCCACTGAGACATCACTCTTGTACTTCTGCATTTCTAAACAAGATGTTAAAACATTCTCAATCAACATGAGTTTTTCTAAAACTATCTTTAAAGATGCTGTATGGGCCAGTAGATACGCTTCTGTGGTAGTTTCTGTTCTGTTCACAATGTCACTGGCAGTCTCTTTGACATCTGTCATCTCCACCGGGGCGTCGTCTCTCTTAAGGGTTGTGATTCGCTCTTTGGGCATGGACTCAGCAAAGCCAAACTTCCCACCCTCCTTTCTAAAAGAACAAGCATACATATACATACATTATATAGATATTAAGTAAAGATCATGTTCCATGAAGATATTTTGCAAATTTCCTACCGTAAATATATCAAAACTTAATTTTTGATTAGTAATATGCAACTTTAAAGGCGATTTTCTCAATATTTTGATTTTTTTGCACCCTCAGATTGCAGATATTCAGATAGTTGTATCTCGACCAAATATTGTCCTATATCCTAACAAACCATACATCAATGGAAAGCTTATTTATTCAGCTTTCAGATGATCTCAGTTGTTGATGTACATGTGTTTTTTTTTCCAACATGAACATGTGAAACAATGCAAACACAATAACCATATGCCAACTCGAGTGTATAAGTACATGCTTTATAGCCATTTTTTTCATTTACTTTGCACTGTGCGCTGAATGCTTTTTTTTCTGTACATTTTTTTTGTTTGCACATAGACTTGTGCCTGTATTCTGTAATGCGATATATCACGGTAATGAATATGCACGATATTGTTATCGTGGGCACTTCTAAATACCGTGAATAATTATATATTACAAATTATTCCGAATTTTGAATGCATTTTAAGAATACTTTTCCCATCAACTGGTCAAAATGCACAACACCGCTGTATGCTGCGTGAAAGACGCGTGCGCACTCTGATGTAAACAAGCGCGGATGTGAAGCACATGGCGGAACATGTGAGAGACGCTCTGGATGAAAGCGCACTTTCACTCTCTGACAGCAGATGGCGCTAAACTGCAGAAATAATAATAATAATAATTCATTTAAATGCAGCCGTTACCCCGGAAACCCTGTAAACAAAGCAGTTGCACTACTTTCTGTTTCTGAATTGTGTTTAAATGATTTAAACAGCCATTCAGATTTGTGTATTTGCTATGATGTTCATCACAGCGCCAAATACTTATTAAATATACTTAATATTTAGACTTAATAGGCTATTTTCAAACTTTTTTTTTACATTTTAATCTGGACTACAACATGCCCTAGATATTGTTTGAAAGTGTTTTGATTCTTTATTGTTCGGTCACACTTTACATTAGGGCTTCATTAGTTAACATTAGTTAATTCATTAGTTAACATAAACTGCCAATGAAAAATTCTTCTGAACATTCATTAATCTTAGGTATTCCAATATTTAATAACAGGATGTTAAAATCGAGAGTTGCAGCTGTGTTATTTAATGAGCTAACATGAACTAAGACTTGTATTTTTTAAACAAGGATTAATAACTTCTGTAGCAAATGTAGCTATTGCTCATTGTGAATGTTAATGCATTAACTTAGGTTAACTAATGAGGTCTTATTGTAAAGTGATACCTATTGGTCTTTATAGTTCTTTTGCACTTTAATTTAATTTTGCATTTAAATGTTCAGTTATTTTTGTTATAAGAAAAAAGTTATTAAACCTGTTATACTGTATTATGACAGCACTTTTTTTAAACTTAATTTCAATATCGTGATAATACCGTATACCGTAATAAAAGCATTAGCAATTAATCGCAACATGAAAATTTGATACCGGCATATCCCTAATCTCGACCAAATATTGTCCTATCATAACAAACCATACATCAATGGAAAGCTTATTTATTCAGATTTCAGATGATGTATAAATCTCAATTTAAAAAAATTGACACTTAAGACTGGTTTTGTGGTCCAGGGTCACATATACATATATATATATATATATACTTAATTACAGATATTTTATTAATATGTAATTACAAAAAAAAATTGTTATATTAATTTATAATCTAAATGTTAATTATTTTATTGCTTTATATTTGCTGTAATAAGACAGAAAGAGTGATAAAATGACTTTTTTAATTAAAAAAAGACAACATCTAAATTCTAAAAAATTCTAAAAAAGACAATTCTAACATCTAAATTTAAATACAAAAAAACACAAAATTAAATGGTTACAAACAACATTAAACATTAAAAAACAACATTAAACATTAAACTACACACACATCATACCTGATTTTTCTGTCATTCTCTAAGGCTTTGTTGATGAGCTCTGTAATTTCAGAAACTTTTACGCTTGCTATTTTGCTGCATCTTAAAACCTGCAAGAAAACAAAATGTTCATGATAAATCAATGAAATGAACTAAAAACAAAATAAAATTGGACTAAAAATATATAACTAATACACACTCTTACCTGGTCTTTGAGAAGCATGATTCCTCCACTAGACTGAATGGAGCAGATCTCTCGATGTTTGTTCATGGCTATCACCAATAATCCATCCTTCACTCGCTCTTCTCGTTCACAAGGGTCCACAAGCAAATAAGAGCTTAGGAAGAAATAACAAGTAAGCAAAGAATGTAGAAAAATCATTTCTTAAATGTCAACTGAAAACAAAACAGCATGAACAGAACAAAAAGGCAAAATAAGTTCAAAATGCAACTCAATACATAGTAGTATTTGCTACAACCTTTATTTATAAAGCACTTTATACAATAAAGATTGTTTCAAAGCAGCTTCTCAGTATTAAATAAGGAAGTAACAGAATCAATGATGCAAACTTCATCAAATTCTGCTGTAAAGCAGCTCTATAAAGACAGAAATTACTCAGCTCCAGTCAGTTCAGTAACTATGTAAAGTTCAGTATATAGAATATATAGAAGTTCAATTCAGCTATAAGCGGGTCAGCTGAAGACAGAGTGTCATTATTCAGCTCGAGTCAGTTTAATGTTTATTGCATTTAGTTCAAAAACGATGTCGATGTCACAAAATTGGTCAATTATAAAAAGCAAAACTAACTAAACAAACTCTAATGCATTCTGTTTTTCCAGTTGCCTGCAGAATAAGATCAGTAAAATGTGTGTTGTTGTAAGAGATTGTGTGCATGTGATGTTTCTCACCCCTGCAGGAAGAAAGCAAAGCTGACACATATAGGCATGTGATAAATGCTCAGTGGAATAGGATCTCTCTCCTCTGGACTGAACTGTTCAAAAAAAAAAAAATCATGAAAAATAACGAATACAAAATAAAAACCACCTGCCAATCGCATACATATAAACAGCCTAGGCCTCTTTTCTGCGGTTTCAGGACTCACCACAGTGACATCTCGTCCCTGAATAGCGACATCTGGCCGCCTAAAATGTGAGAGTGCAGATATGGCAGCAATGCTGGCTGCATCCATCAAGTTTCCATCATGATTTAACACATGGACATCAACCCGTATCTGCCAAACCTGTAAATAACAAAGGTACAGGGAGTGAAGGGACATTGCATGCGGGACATGGGACAAATGACAGGTGTGCGTATTACCTTTTCTCCTGAAACTACACAGAGAGACTCCGTGTCTATGCATTTGGAATTCCTCAGACACCTCTCAAGCTGTCTGTTCAACGTCACCAACAACTCTGACTGCCTACAGAACACACACAGAAACACAATGAGAAACACACAGGGATTAGGAAATAAGAAACCACACACACACACACACACACACACACACACACGCACACGCACACACACACACACACACACGCGCACACACACACAAGAGAGAATAAAGTGAGCGACGCCTCGTGGTACCATCACAGAGAGGCTCAAAATCACTTTCCAGAACATTCTCGTTCACTGTTCCTGGCTGGTGGAATGATCTTCCCACCCCTATCCGGAATACTGAATCCCTGACAATTTTCAAGCGACAGCTGAAAACTCATCTCTTTAAATGCTACTTGACTTCATCTTAAAAAAAAAAGACTTAATCTTTCTCTTTATTTATTACTTCCCTTTTCTAGTTTGTACTTATTTGAACAATGCCTAAAACTTGGTATTTCAAGCACTTCCTGTGTCTGTTTGCCTCTTTAAGAAGAATCGCTTTATGTATCCCCCAATTGTAAGTCACTTTGGATAAAAGCCTCGGCAAAATGACTAAATGTAAATGTAAATGTAATTTGCAAGACTGTGTGTATATAAATGTGAACCTGTTTGGCTCAAAGGCTGGTGATGCCATGGGAGACAATTCCAAATTAAAAAACATGATGCCTTCTGTGGGACGTGAATCTTTTGGAGGGACCAACTCACAAGATACCTGACACAACACCCTGGAAGGAAAAACACGTGTTAAGAATGGGTTTTCCAAACAAAGTAGATTGTGTTCTTCTAAACAGCACGCAACTGATTATTTGTTATGACTTTAAAATCGGTGGTGTAGAGAAGCAATTATTAACTGATACCTTGTTTTTCCAAGTTCCACGCTACAGCAGCCATAATCAGTTCCAAAAGCGATTTTAATATTCCGGTAATCGTATGTCTGTCTCCCATCTAAGCGCTACAGAACACAGAAATATGGTTCAGCGAGTCAGACAGAGATGTGGATTGCAGAATGACAATGATCAAAACCTTAAGTATTACTAATGATATCACATCTAAAATATATTCAACAAGGTGTAACTAACTTTTTTCGCTTCTATAGCTTTAAGAAGAAAACGCCTCTCGCAGTTTGACAGCGGAGTATCCCTCATTTTGACAGCTTGAATGTATCACATAGACAGCTCGATCTGTCGCTGCATCCTCTCGCACGCTTCATTCAGCGTAGAACCGGCGCAATGTTATGACGTAAGTGTAACAGTGGCGCACGGTATTTGCGTATGCACTGAATGAGAGCGGTCAGCGCTTAGTTTTGGATGTGATTAACAGTAGGACATATTGTTTGAAATGTCATGTTCCACCAAAAGCACACAAAAAAAGAAAGAATGAAAATTAAATACATAATATATAAATATATAATTCAGTATTGAAAATGAGATGTAAAAAAAAGATTTCTCACTTTCCGTTCAAGGTTTAAAATAATATATAGGCTAAATAATTTTTTTTTTATTATTATTACGTTTTCCAGACATCATTTTGTTGAATTGTTATTATATATTTCAAATAGCTACCTCAATTTAGGCTATGTGTGTGAGAGAAACTCGCTTATTCTGATTTTTTTAGTTTGTGCATGTCATTGTCCCTGAATTGATTACTGTTTTATTACTTTATTATTCGTTATCTTTAGCCTGGAAATCCAGCTGTGAAATACAGAATTGCAGCAAGATTTTATTGTTGCATAACAAATAGTTTCAGCTAAAACGAGCCTACCAATAGATAAACACTTTGAGATAATCACTTTGTTGTAAGGAAGAAAAAAACTGAAATTTAAGTGTGTCAGCAATTTCTGCAGAACTAAAAAGAGATACTAAAATTAGAATTTAGTTTTCTTCCCTCCTGGATGAAATGTCGTCAAAAGTTATCAGAACAGACTCAAACATATGCTTAATTTTGTGTACAATTTAACAATATTCAATAATCAAATGTTTTAGAAATTTAGAAAATATTTAGTGGATTATATCAGTGCATTACATATTAGATTTTGCCTATAGAGCACCAAATAAGTCAGAACCACCACTGATGGCAGATGTTAAACTCTAGATAGACTCATTTTTTTGTAGCTACATGTTTTTGAATTATAATTTTTTTTGTATATGTATTTCAAAAGTAAATACAGATTTTAAGTGTCACTTAAATGGCAATTCTATTCAATATTACTGATACAATACACAACATTACTATTAATTCAGAGTAAAATGATGTTGGTGTGGGGCCTCGGGTTTTGACTTTGCTTAGGGCCCCCAAAATGGTAAACTCGCCCCTGCTGCACATGAAAAAAAAAGAACAGGTCTGTTTTAATTATTTTCTTCCATTTTACCTCGGACCTGCGTGCTGCTGTAAACAAAGACGGAATGATTGATTTCTAAAAAGAACAAGTAAAAATGGTATGATTATGCATTTTTGAAAGCAAATAATCAATGGACAAAGTTATCTTTAGTCAGTTATAGCTGGATTGTCCGTCTTCCAAATTGATCTGTTACTGAGATGAAACATTTTCACCCAGTCTGGGTCGTTTTGGCAACCCTGGGTCAGAGTGTGAAAGTGATTTATTAAGCAAATTAAGCGTTTATTTAAAAAATTATACTGATTTATGAATCACTCTCCTTTCAGTGCAACAATTCAGATAGTTTGATGGATCATAATCTCATGCAATCTGTAACAAAATAATGTGATTTATTATGTGATATTATTGGAAAGCTATTGTTAAGCTCGAACGCGCCTGTGGCAAATTCACATGTACGCAGATGTCCCTTTTAAAAGCGCTGTAATGGTACCAGCCGAACACGACTAATCATAGCAGCGTTGTGGATATTGTTCAGCTGGTGCTCTTGTGTAGGACTGTTGCTCTCATAACGTTATGATGGATGGCCAGTCCTTTGAGCGACTCAACGTGATACCCGCTTGTTGAGCACAAAGACGCGTGGATATTTGCATCATAAAAACCACTCTATCATCTCCCGTCTCTCTTTTCCACTTACATATACACTTATACCCAGTGTTGGGGGTAACGCATTACAAGTAACGCGAGTTACGTAATCAGATTACTTTTCCCAAGTAACTAGTAAAGTAACGCATTACTTTTTAATTTACAAGACAATATCTGAGTTACTTTTTCATCCTCAAAATGAATAAAAAATGAATGCAACTCAGAATATGACGCGAACCTGCAATAATTAAATGTTAAACAACACAAATATCCTTTATGTATTTAATCCCATTCTATTAACCAATGTCTTTGCTTCTGATCTTCGATGATCCAGTTCAACCGAACTAATAAGCAAAAATTACTCTAGACAACATTTGTGCGTCTTTTTTTATTGCTGAAGTGTGTTGAAATTTCTTCTTCCATTCTACTGTACGGACATAAATTTACTTTCCCTTAGATTTTAAAAGTAACGCAAAAGTAACGTAACGCATTACTTTCCATAAAAAGTAACTAAGTAACTCGATTAGTTACTTTTTTTATGGAGTAACGCAATATTGTAATGCATTACTTTTAAAAGTAACTTTCCCCAACACTGCTTATACCACACAATACCTCTTTGACTATAGTTCATGTCAAATGTCATGCAAGGTTCAAACTAAGAACAAATAAATTTGAGCCTATAAACAAAACGGCTTAAAACCTCGATAAAGAACTTCAGGCATCTTTATGCAGCAATGGCGGCACAGAAACCAAATCTGAAGCGGCATGAAACCACGAAAATGTGCATTAAACCACACAAAAAACGTTACAAGAAACTTAAAGGGTTTTAAGCCCTAAGTAGCCAATTTTTATATTATATGTCATTATTAATACATAATGTATGTAATTATCTTCTGAAATTCTTTTCAGCTTGTAATTCTATTGCCTGCAATGTGTGTAGCTAATATAAACTGTATGCTAAATCAAACGCATAACCTATAGCCTATCTACTGAATATAAAATGTTAGATTTTTTATGAAAAAAAAAATATTTCAAACAGTAAGTGTAAAACAAATCCCACTTGACTTCAGAGGTGTGGACCGTTCTCATAATTTTATTGAGTGAGAATGAATGAATGAATATGTGATTTGTGAAACAGTTTGTAGAGATTTGAAATGCAAAAATATAGATGTAGTTGTAACAGGCTGCAATCATAATGCTGCTGGCTGATATGATGCAGGTGGAGGCAGAGATGATGGAGAGACATGTCAAAAGCATAATACAATGAGAGCCACCGCCACGTGTCAGTGACCGACTTTATCAGCTGAACTTCAGGGCTAATAAAAGCCACGGAGCCCTCACATAAGAACAGTTCCGAGGACTGCACCAGAGAGACTTTGCGAGTGTTGCAGAAGTGATGGAGTTCAGTTACCTGACTTCCACTGCATACGAGTCTGGGATGGACACTGGCCGAACCTCTAGCCGCTCCACGGAGTTCAGCTCCTGCAGTCAGCCCTTCAGCTTTCAATATAACAGGTGCAATTTAGGAAACACAACCAGTTGCCATTTCATTGCGCCTGGTTCTCATCAACCCTCACACTACATAACAGGTTAGTCCTTGCTTTAATCATAATTATTAGTATATCAAATTAATTAAAGATATAATTGTTTGCATTTGGCTAAAATTTCAAACTTGAAACTTGACAGCTATAACCATTCACTACAGAAAAAAAGCAAATACTTTTTTTCATAGGTTCCCTTATACGTTCAAAAGCTTTGGGTAGGTTGTTTTTTAATTAAATTTTTTTTAAAAGATATTACTATTTTTATTCGGCAAGGATGCATTAAATTGATCAAAGGTGACAGTTAAGATTTTAAATTTTTTACTGTACATCTATTTTAAATAAATGCTGTTCTTTTGAACGTCTTAGAATATTTCAAAAAAAGTATCACGAATTCCACAAAAAAAAATAAGCAGGTACAACGGTTTTCAACATTTATTTTTTTTGTGTGTTTTTAACATTTATTTATTTTATTTTCATATGAAAATAATTTCTGAAGTATCATGGGACACCCGTGACGTTTACAGTTATTGATTTTGTTATTTTATTAAAATGCAAACAAATTAAGCTGGATAGAAAAAGTGTCATTTAATCAGTCAACATATAGTGTAATCTTTTACTGCTTTTTGTTCTGTAAGAAATGTTTACTCTGTTTAGATTTACAACTAACGTTAACGAAAACTGCACACAGAGCAACATTCTTTCTTGAAATTGCATTCCTATAAAAGATTAATGCTAGTCTATATTAGATATATTAAAATAGTTATTATTATTTAAAAAACATACACTTGCGGTAACAGCCACTGCATTTCAGCGTCTTGTAGGTTGTCTTTATATCGCTCATTTGTACAAGGTTATAATAAATACAGAATATTCCAGATCAGCGTATTAGAATGATTTCTGAAGGATCATGTGACACTGCAGACTGGAGTAATGATGCTGAAAAAGAAAAGGCTTTGTCATCACAGGAATAAATTACATTTTAAAATATTTCATGTTTTTTTCCCAAAAACATTTAAAAATCTTACCGACCCCAAACTTTTGATCGTTATAGCGTACACAGTTGCTCCAATTACTTATAAAACATATATATTTGTGTTCAATTAAAATGCCATTCAATTTCCAGTTCATCATAATCTTCTGGCTTATGAACAAGGCGTCCAGGAGAGACGCAAACAAAGACGCGTGCGCACCATCTTCACGAGCCCGCAGCTGAAAGCGCTCGAGCGCGTGTTCTCACAGACGCATTATCCAGACATCTACACGCGAGAGGAGCTCGCACAGGAGATTCACCTTACTGAAGCTCGAGTTCAGGTACCTGAGCATCTGCACTGATCATTCTTCAACTGTGTTTTAAGAGACCTCAAGACCCCCTTCATAAACTAGAGCAACGTACCTTACCATGTAGACAAGTGTATTCATTCATTATTTTATTCTGTTCTATTTAGGTCTGGTTCCAGAACAGACGCGCTAAATTTCGCAAACTGGAGCGTGCAGCTCCATGGATTGAGTCATCTTCTAAAGCGAACAGTTCACCTTCCCAGGACAGCTCCAAAACGATGACGGTCCCTGACCCAGACAGCACACAACCCACCCTTACCCGAAACCCAGACCACAAACAGGACAACAGCAGTCTCAGAGAGGACCAGGCTCCAGACGAATTGACCTTGTTCGCACAGAGGTCAAGAGGTCACCAAACTCACTGTGCAGCAACTCCCTGCATGTGTTGAGCAGTGAAAGAGTTCA